CTTCTACTCTTCCAGGACCTGGGAGGTGAGCTCAGGACTACAGTCAGCAGTTTGCTATCATTTAACCCAATGTGGAGAGTGAAACTGAATGCTGGACGGTGGGTCCTTATGACACCCTGAAGTCCAGAAATTGCATTTTTTTTTAGGTTTTCTTTGCAATCAAAATAGTCCTGAGTCAATTAAAATAGAGAACCAGTGGAGAAATGGCCCATGGGCTGGAGCACACCTTTTTCAGGCAGGAACCCAGAATTTGATCCTTGACACCATCATGGTCTGTCCTCTCCAAGGTCCTCGAGAGCACCATTGGGAGCTTACATCCAATTACTGTGCTGAGGGTAGACCTGGAGCACTGTCATGTGTGACCCCCCACCTTACCCCCCAAACCTAAATAGAGAAGCATCTATTTAGTGGGGGAAGATGCTCATCTGATTCTATAGCTAAAAGGAAATACTGAGTCACATACCAAGAGCCCTGCCAAGGTCCCCCACTAGTTACTAGTATATGAGGAAAGTCAGCCTGACTCTATGTGATGTTTTCACCGTACCATGGGGAAAATAAACACACTAAACTGCCCCAAACTGGGGGATGGGGGGAAGTTGGGTTAAACCTGCCTGTGTTCAGGGCTTATTCTTGGCTCTGTGCTCAATGATTACTCCTTATGGAGCTTAGGGGCTGGAGCCATAGCACAGTGGGTAAGGCGCTTGCCTTGCACACAGCCGACCGGGACGGCCCAGGTTCGATTCCTCCACCCCTCTTGGAGAGCTCGGAAAGCTACCGAGAGTATCTCACCCGCATGGCAAGCCTGGCAAGATACCCGTGACGTATTCGATATGCCAAACACAGTAACAAGTCTCACAATGGAGACGTTACTGGGCCTGCTCGAGCAAATCGATGAACAACAGGAAGACAGTGTTACAGTGCTATGGAGCTTAGGGGACCAAATGCAGTGCCAGGGATTAAACCCAGGCCTGCTTCATGTAATACAAGTGCCTTATCAACTGTACTGTCTCTAGCTCCCATGCCTGAAAATTTTAATTAAAACGTTGCCTTAATGATAAACTAGCTTATTGAGCATTATCATTTTTAAAAGAATTTATATATTAATAGTCATCTTTTGCGTTGTTGCCTAAAATACATTCTGAAGATCTATTAATACAATCTCTTGGAAACTGACTTGTGGTCTGCTGATAAAGCAATAGAAATAACCCAACAAAATAGCTTAAAATGTTTTATTAAGTATATATAATATTACAGGGTAATATTTACAAAGTTATGTTGTTTTTTTTAAATAAAAAAAGTACCTTGGCAAAGATTGCAGATATTCAAAGCTTCAAACAGTGATAAATTGATTTAATACATATAAAATAAACCTTTAACGGTAACACAGCTGTAAAACAACTTTGGTCTTTAAATCACTGCAAAAAATGGCTACTGACAAATAGCACACCTTTAATTGCTATGGAAAAAAAGCCCCCAAGAGAGGATCTTGCACATAGCAACACTGGAGTTTTCTTTATTTAGAATGGTTAATGGATATTTATATGACATGGGATCTTAATACTCAACAATGGCTTTCTGTAAATAATGCTCCATCTAATAAAAAATAAAGTTTCACCTCTCTTACCAACCATGATAACGACACTTTTAAGATTCCACTGATGTTGCCTTATGGAGAATCTTATTATAAATGCTCTCTCTTTTTTTTCAAAAGGCTAAATTTAATGGGGAAAGTTGGTCTTAAACTGTTAAGAGCTGTCAAAAGCCAAAGGCAGGACAACTTCCACTTTACTGCCTTTTTAAAGTTACCTGGATTATTCCTATTAGCCATTTTAAATGACATAACAAAGGACCCTCAGTGGGTGATAACAGTTAGTGATTTTCAAAATATGACACATGTAAAAATCAACTATTCTAAACAAACTTGCAAATGAAACACAATAAAAAGAAAAAGGATGCCTAACAATCATTTCTTCAGTTTCTAAGGACAGGCAAATCAACAGTATGTCTGTATATACACTACAGTATCTCCACTTGTGAATACCCAATTCAGGACAAGAGAAATCTAGAAGGTGATACAAACTCAAGTTATTACTAATGAGATGAATGGTATAAACTTATCCCTTTTTGAATTTCATTAACTTAAACTACAACTTGATGGGTCATTTAACTAAATTTACTACAGAATTCTGTGAACAACAACAATGGGATAGTCCCATTTTATTTCTGATATTCTCAGAAGTTGAAGCAGAATAAATCTGAAATTTTCAGGTGAAAATTATAACCAGCCATTAAGATTTTCAGGGGAAGGAAGGAAAGAGGAAAGGAAGGAGGTGGGGAGGGAGGGAAAAAAGGAGGGAGGGAGGGAGGGAGGGAGGAAGGAAGGAAGGAAGGAAGGAAGGAAGGAAGGAAGGAAGGAAGGAAGGAAGGAGGTGTGAGGAGGAAGGAATTAATTCTAGCTCACCTTATTAAAAATAGTGGGAAATTTACATACAGCTCTCAATCTTCAAACTTATGTACTGAATGGCTAATGTATGCAAAATACTGCAGTAAGAGAAAGCTCTTGCTAAGGCGGAGTTTTAAAAGCAAGAGGGAGAAGCAAGACAGACAAAATTTCTAAGAAGAGACACAATAAATTCTAAGCAAGGTAAGAGATGAAAGAAGGACCTAGCAGTTGTTGTTAGGTTACAAAGGAGAGCCAGTGAAGGAGAAAGGGCTGGTGGATGTTTTAAATGAGTGGGATATTTTGTTCTGACCAAGAAAGAATTAAAGTTTGCTGTAAAAATTATCAATGGTATCACTCTGCAACTGTAATAACTTACCAAATGGAATAGTCATGGGAAAAAAAGGAACTAGTGAGAAGAAAAATAGATTGGGAACTCACGTATATGATGCTCAAAAAATTCTTAGCAATTTAAATTTGGTGTGACAGAAAATAGGGAGCCATTACAAATTTGATTTGAAAAGAATGAAATGGCCCCAAGGAGGCTCAAGCAAGAGAGCTCCTATTGCTGTGGTCCCTTTTCCAGAGAAGCTGACAACTTGTAAGAGCAAGAGTTGATTTAATTTGGCGTTTCTCCTGCTACCTCAAAGTGTTGTCTGGGGCAGTGAATGCCTCTAAAGAAAGGCAGCATTAAGAGAATATAAGGGATGGAGCAGTCCCAAGACTGAACTTTAAATAAATGAATTTACTACATATTAAAAGGTATAATTTTTCAGTTCATAAAAAAGTTTGTTAGACTATAAAGACTTTCAGAGCTTACTTCTTCCTAATAAATAAAAATTCAGAATTTTTCAAGTGCATCTGCTTTTCCTCCTTTCATTAAAACTGGTTTCTTAAATAACAAATTATATTAGTAAAATAGAAATACTTTTAGAAGAAAAAGAGCAACAGAAATCATCAGGTTTGTTTGTATAAAGAAACACAGTTCCCTCTATACCTAATATTTTTTGGACAGCAACACCTTTAGGGAAGAAAAATACTTTTCATATTTTTTATTTTTTTAAAGAGCTGTCTTGATTATGTGTTCAGTTTCTGAGAGGCATCAGCAGATCATAAATTGCGGTTTGCCCAGGCAAACCACTTGGTCCCACAACATGAAATGTAACAGTTAATTTGGCATAAAAGAGGCACATGAGAACATTCAGCGGACTACGAAATAACTATCAGTAATGCAACTACAAATAGGAATGTCTTATTACATAACAGGAAGAATAATTAGTATTTTTAGAGGGTATAAGTGAGCAATCAAAAAGCTTGGCAAATTACCTAAAAGTTTTAAGTGACCAAATATTTGCATCAAATATAATTCCACCCAATAAAGATCTTTGTCGTTAAATGTTTTCACTAAAAGCATGAAATTAACATTTGCTCTCCTGTAGGTACCCCACTTTTGTCCATACAGAAGATGCATGTGCCTATCTTATACATGTGCACATACGAACACACACCCACAAAGGAGGAAAACAAGTGCTAATAATCTAAAAGTACTCCAGGCGATCACAACTGTCAGGATGTTATTTTTCTTCTAATGGGGAAGGAAACGTGTGGGTTTGTTTAACTCTTCAATCTTAGAATAAGGGGAGTACGAGGCAGGACTACAGGAGGAAGGTGATGAGTGTTTATCATGCAACATAGATACAACAGTAATAAAACCACCCTTTCAAGGGCTGGCCTGTTGGCCTGACGGTGACACACATTATGTTGCCATGCAGGAGACTCATAGTTCAATTCTCAATCTTGTTTTTTCATGCCCCGAATCAGAAAAGAAGTGAGGAAACACTGTAGATTGTGCCTTCAAATCAGAGGAAGGGAATTACGTATGTTACAACCATCATTATTTTACTGAAACGTGTGAACATAGTTCTCTGGCTCCTTTCTGCAACGATGCTACCGTGTCACTGGACCGTGTTCAAAGAGGAGAAAAGGTGCTACATCTTGTACAGCAGAAGCAAAAAAAAAAAGAAAAAAAACCCAAGAAAACAAACAAACCAAAAAAAAAAAAAAAGGAGGACAAGACAGGGCTTAAAGTTGTGTGAATAAAAGAAAAACACATCAATAAAATTACCCTAAATCAGAAAAGGATCTCTTCTTACATTGTAAGCTGAAGGAAGAATGGGTCAAGAGCAACCCCCAAGAATGAAGACCATGGCCTCCACCAGAACCATACTGCATGAAGGATAACATGTTTCCAACTAGATACCCGTCCTTGCTTACTCACCGAGTCCTCGACCCAGTGGTGGCAGATACCTTATTCAACGAAGACAACTGTTGGAGGTGCTGCAAACCCGAGTTTGCTACTGTTCAGTGGAAGTCACTATTTCCATAGACAGCTTTGGGTAACATCAGGTTAGTGCCAGGTCATGTTCCCCTTGAATAAGTTTAAACTGGTGAACACAAGAGTCAAGAGGACCTTGGATGCGAAAGGCATCATTCTTGGAAGTTGCCTACTCCATTTTGACCCTAATTGAGTAAAAATTAACAACAAAAAACTGAATCTCAATTGGGTACACACTACGGATCATAGTTCTTTTATTAACTAAATTACAGATACTTTGAATAAAAAACTTAACCGTAACAATCATTTAAAGGTCACTGATTTATTTCTCCCACACAAATAAAAACCATTGTTTTTCTTGTCTTCTCTTGAACAGTGAATCAAGGCCATGGTGCTTAAATACAACGAGTGCTTTCACATCTTACTGATCTCCGAAGAGTCCATCACTTCAGTTACTCTGGAAAATCAAAAAAATGAACATGTGATCACTATTCATGTCTACTTTTTATGCCATTTACAAGTTGATCCAGTAAAATTTTCTTCAATTGTTTCTGCTCTACATCTTTTAAAAAAAAGTATTTAATCTTAGATTTATAAAGTTGAGAGTCTGTTTAGTTTTGGGAAATGAAAGGTACAATGGCAAATGAGAACCAAATGAGAACAGAAACCAGCGAGGTGTGAGCATCTCCAGTTGCTGAAGTATCACAGGGAAAGTATCATAGGGAAGTACGTGTTTCCAACGTGAAACACAATATTCCTTCCCATTCACTTGGTATCTACAGTATTCACTTAATGCAGTGAAATAAACAGATATGAGGTCCAAGTGGAAGGGGACATGGCGCTACTGCTCCTGGGAAGGAGGTGACCCTCACTGACTGCCAAGGCAGACACACCACATTTTGAGCAGTTGTCAAAGAGAAGCTACATCCACACAGACTTCTAAAAATGATAATTTACTGAATTTCGAAAAGATGAATATTAGCAAAACTAAGAGAATTTCAAAGGTCAATACAGATTTCAGGTGCTATGAACACAAAAGTACAATGTTTATCTATACATACACACTGATACAATGTTCCCAGAAGATACTCCAGAAGAGAAAGTTAAAAAGGAAGATGTACTTAAGATGCTCGGACTTATTTTTTTTCTGAAAATGGAGGTTAGTGTCTTCGTATCATATAGAATGATACCGCAAGAGAAAAAGGAATGAAAAAACCAAAACAAAACCAAAAAAGAATACCAGTGTGTCAACATGGAAGAATCGTACCATAATTTCAGGTACAAATTCCTTTTTAATACATATTTTCCCCCTTTTAAGGCACGATTTTTCTTACAATTACAATTATTTCTCTAGAGAAAGGTGCTGGTTTAAAAAAACATGCATTTCTGAAATATAAAGGCTGGGATTATTTTATGATCTATGTATAAAAAATCCTAAGCATGTTTTAAAGCCTAAGCATGTATTTCAGCAATACACAACTGGCATGTTTTTAATCTTATGAAAAAATTAATTATACTCAGAGGACTATAATCTCTTGAGCTAAATGTTGCATTCTGCTGTAAAGGAAAGCAGGTACATAAGGGACTTGAAAACAGTAAAATAGAAAGTGAACTATTTACATGATCAAAGAATGACTGTACATAAAAAGGTATAAAAACATTTTTTGATAAGATCAAAAACACAGCTATTAAAATGTTGACAAAATTAACATCACAGCATGTTAAAACTTATTGAGTAAAATCACAATAAATGAATCAAAAATGAATGCTATGAGCACTCAATATCTCAGACTAATTTATCTTTACAAAACAATAAAATGCCTTTGAAATATCTGATAAAATCCAAGAGCTCTAAGTCCTGAGTCTAAAATAAAGAAGCAAATGCAGGAGTAATTAAATATTCCTTTTCTTTTTAAAAATTCTTTCCCCGAAGGTTAGAGCGAAGTTTCTTTTAGGAAAAGCAGAGATATTAGGTCCCTTTGGGTTGACTAGAACAACCAACACAAGCACAAAAGAAACTCTGTCAACATGATAAAGATTTGGGCCAGATTATCTAAGAATCTTATTAAAAAGCATCTGAAAGTTACAATCAGCAGCCACTGCGTCTATAAAGTTTTTCACACAGCTGTAATTTCTCTTTGCAGTATGATGGGAATTCTATTAGTGATACATCCTACAGATTTTATATGACCAGTTTTGTAAGTTTTAAGATTTATGCTTAGAAGAATACTTTTATGACTTGACAGTGTCCCTTTTATGTAGTTATTTGTATTCAAGTATTTTTTATTTAAAAAATAAATTTCAGCCCATTTTCTGTTTTCAATATTCATAATCTAATCAATCTATAATTGTATGTACATTTTGTACTTACCTTCATTCATCATTCCTTTTGGCTCTTTAAATGCTAAGAATTAGTAACAAGCCAAGCAGACAGTTAGTAAGGCCACAGGATTAGAAATACTTCTAAATAAACAATCATGGACTAATATCGTGAATAAATGAATATGCACTAATATCATGACAACTATTCTACAACTATAAAGCCAAGTTAAATTTAAGACTATAAATTGACCACAAGAGCCTTGCTGTGCATACTCCACAGCAGAAACTTAAAGTCAGCTGAAAATACAAAGACTAGGATTCAGTGACAGTAAGATGTTTAGGTCTTACTCTGTGGCAAAAGCTTGTCTTGAAATTTTACGTATGAGCATATGAAACTGTTTGGGATCCCTCTCTATCGAGAGGTGTTACACTTCATCTTGGTCATTATAAAAGGCAATCGTCTCCTCATCCAAAGATAACTTGGCTGAGTGCAAGCTCCTTGTGTAACACAAAAAAGAGCGTATTTTTCCAGAGGTGTGAAAATTACAAAGGCAAATACTCTTAACTATCAAACACTCAAGACAAGCTTAATTAAAAAAAAAAGGCCAAGATTTTCCTAAGGCATTTTTACTATTTTGGGGGCCAGTTCAAATTACGATCTGGTACTGAATTAAAAAGAATATGCAAGTGTGTAATAACCACATACCATTAAGGGGTTCCTCTACAGCTTTCTGGAAAACATTTAAGATATATTTACATAATAGAAATTTATATCATATCCTTTTATATTAAAAACTATAAACATTAATATTCAAACTATACAGCAAGTAGTGAACCTTAAGAGTCTTAAAAAATATGACAGCAAAGGTTAAAAAAGCAAAACTTGCCAAATCTACTTAAGAGTTCAATAATAGCTATTATTCTTCTCAAGATACATTTTTCTATACGAACTCCCTACACCATTCTGTCTCAGTTCAAGTAATCCTAACTTTTAAAAATCATTAGCATGCAAAAATAAGTAGCAACACTATACGATATTAGTAATATCGATAAACAAGAGAGGTGAGCAAAGCAGAATCATTTTAAGTCATGCAAATCAAACTTTGTTACAGGGAAAGGAAATGTGTTAGGATTTAAAGGCCCGAGGGCTGGATTATCTCTAAAAGAGGCACAGTGAAGATTGCTGGCTCTGCGTGATCAATGTCCCCAAAGCACCAATCTTTTCAGAATAAACACAAGTGGCAAATCACTGCTCCTCTCCTGCTGCCACCTGAATTTCTGACCTATCTGTTGAAGCTTACTGGACTTTATTTTTTTAAAATTTTTATTTTTATTAGTGAGACACCATGAGGTACAGTTGGAGACTTACAAATATTGGACTTTAGAGAGAGAAGTCTTGCTTCTGACATTCTGGATGGAGCCCTCACTAATCCTTTAGAGAGAGATGAGTACAATATTTTTCTTTGAAGATCTTCTTTCCATAGAACAGTTAATGGGCTGGCCACCATAATGCTTCTATTCATAAAGGTGATTTTTAGAAAACCATTTGCCTCATCAATCCCTCTTCGTTTCTTTCTGAAATTTGCTTTTGTTTGGAATTTTCTTAGATAGTTTACAAAGGTTCCAAGATACAATAGTCCTTTACAAAGGTATTCAAGATACAGTAGTCCCTCCTGTTCAGACTTAATAGTTTCGGTAACATCTACTCATTCACACTCCGAAAATATTATGTACAGTAAGATATCTTGATACCATATTTGCATACTTTTAATTATAGTGATATTGTTGCACTTGTTCTATTTTATTTTGTTGCTAATCACTGTACCTAATTTGTAAGGTAAAATTTCTAAAATGGGGAAAGAGAGAGAGAGAGAGAGAGAGAGAGAGAGAGAGAGAGACAGACAGACAGACAGACAGACAGACAGACAAAGACAGACAGAGACAGAGAGACTGAGACACAGAAACAGAGAAGGGAACCTGGGGGCATTGGTATTAGGAAATTTAGGCTGGTGAAGAAATGGGTGTTTAAACATTAAATGACTGAAACCAAATCATGAACAACCTTGTAACTGTGCATCTCACTATGATTCAATAAATAAAAATGTAAAAAACTTGAAAAGAAAATGAAGAAAAGAATTTCCAAGAAGTACACATACATAGGAAAAATAGTATGAATAAAAAATTGTATCTGATAAAAGTTTTAGGCAGCCACTGGAGTTCTTGTAAAATATCCCCCATGTAATGGGGAAGGCCACATTGCCACATGGGAGATGAACCTGGGAGATGAGTCCAGAGTCACGTCCATAAACCACCGCCAGCGCCATGTAAGCTCTGTCACAGGCCACGATAGAGACTCATAAATAAATCTTGAGAGAGATCAACAAGATGCAGAGATTCTTCCAGATGACATGCAAGGCTGAGTCACCCAGGAGACACCTACGGGGAGCAGGTAAGCCCAGCACCTGCCCAAATAGAGTCCTGACAATCTCTGCCATACTCTTGGAGAGCCCAGCAAGCTACCAGGAGTATCTCACCCACACAGTGACGTATTCGATATGCCAAACACAGTAACAATTGTCATAATGGAGACGTTAGTGGGCCCGCTCAAGCAAATCGATGAACAACGGGAGGACAGTGACAGCGACGGTGACTTAGAGACAAACTGCACTGCTCCAAAAAAGCCTCATCCAGAAATTTAATCTGTCGAAAAACTCGGATATACAGGTTTTGTTAGTGAAATCTCTAGGCTCTCAAGGAGGTGAGGATGGGCTCCCTTCACCCCCACCCCATCTCCCTATATTTTCAGAAGCCACAGCAGTCACGTACACACCACCAAACAACACCCAGTTAAAAAATTAACTGCAGTTGTATCACCTTTTTAAAAACTTTGAACCTTCTGGATTGACACTTCAAATTCTAGAACAATGATAAACCAGAAGTAGCAAACCAGATTGGATGGGACGTAATGTAGAAGGCATCCAATCTCAATTAACAAAATATCAACATAAAAGGCTTAACCTGTAACAACACCTTTGAAATCTCTTATGCAAGTCTTAATAGCTCCATAGTGAGATACATAATCTTCACTAATTATCTTATAAGGAAACATTTTTGGATCACTCTTTTAGCGAATTATAACAAGCAATATAAATTAAATTATTGAGGGCCCAATGTAGGGGCAGGCTTTAAGGGATGGTTGGAAAAAAATGAAGATAATGGTGGTGGGAAGGTGCAATGGTGGGATTTGTGTTGGTTTATTGAATGTCTGTAACAAATAATAATGAACAACTTTGTAAACCACAGTGCTTATATGAGGTCATGGTCATGATCACGATCACGATCATCGATTGTCTCGAGCAGGCACCAGTAACGTCTCCTTCTACCTAGCCCTGAGATTTTAAAAGAGCCATTTCAATACTCTTTCAGGATTAGGAAGATGAGACCCATCATTGTTGCTGGTATTTGGCATATTGAGTACGACACGGGAAGTTTGCCAGACTCTGCCGTGCGGGCAGGATACTTTTGGTAGCCTGCCAGGTTCTCCAAAGGAAAGGAAATAAGATGTCGTGCAGCATCGAATGCAGTATATATAAGGTATATATAAGGTATAAGGGTAAAATAATTTTATTTTTTATTAAAAAAGGTTCCACTCCCACATGTTTCACTAGTCTTCTCACTCCAAAAACCACTCACGGACATATTCCTGAAACAAAATGTCTTGCTAAGACCATACCGAGGATGAATGTGATTGAACACAGTAAAAAAAACCTTCCTGTAAGTATTGAGTATTTGAGGCACAGTAAGGAAAACTGCCCCAAGCTCATCTTGCTGGTGCCCTAAGCTGCCACCTGAAATACACAGTGGTCTATCTTTGTCATCAGTCTCTCCTTGCCCCAAACATGGGAACCAGTTTCCAATAACACCTAGGTTGTGACTAGTTGAACCATCCGGGAGACTGAAGAAACCGGCCTTGTGAAAGAAATATCAATGAACATCTGTGCTGGTCATCAACTTTTATATACGTCTGGGTGGTAAATAATTTCTAAGCAAGTGCCTGGCTTTGGAAAAGAGGCACTGGAGGAGGCAATCCTATACTGGCCATCAACCTTGTTGTGTAGAGAAATGTAAGAAGTCTGTATGTCAGAAGCTTATGAGTCATCAGGAGAATGGAGCTTCCTTATGGTGCTCACTTGAGAAATTGTACACAGTGTCTTGTGGCAAACAAAGAAATGTTTGCTACAGGAGGCTGGCTGCAGTCATGGGCAGGCACGTTGATTTCCAGCACCCAGCTGACACTAACAAGTTAAAAAGCAGGGAGAAGAGTCCAAGGATGAGGTTCAGGTAAGACAGCATATGCCTATCAGCCTGAATTCATTCATTCTCTGGCACTGCATGGTCCCCTAAGGACCACTGGGAGTGGCCCTACTAAAGAAATAAACAGCTCAAAAAACAATTAAACACCTCGAGTGCACTCTTTCACAAAATTAAAAAAAAATTGCTGCAAATCGTGGTCCAAGCCCAGTTAGGATTCTAAGAAATAGCTTGCCTGGGAAAGTGATGGGGAAAAAAAATTCTTTAAATAGCAATTATCCTGAAGCCCTTAGGACAAAACTTACATTCCTTTGCTGCTTAAAATTGCAATCGAATTGGTCATTGTAAAGTGAACAATCAACAAGATAACCAAACTATTGCCCATAGAACTAAGGTGGGGTGGGGTGGGGGTTGCAGGAGGATAGTCCTTAAGATTCAGGTTGTTAGTAGTAAGTCTTTGGTTATTTGAATGGGCACTTAATTGCCTGTCTTCATTTTTAGAATAAAATCTATGGGGTCTTTGAATCAGTCAATGTGTTTGTATGCATGTATGGAAAATTGAAGAAAATATCCTAAAAAGGGTATTTGATTACAATCAAGCTGATATTGATACAGGTTTATTTAGCTTGGTTTTCTCTCTGTTGAAAGGATATGTTTCTTAGATTACTGGTCTGCTACTATCAGGAAATTATAATCAGAGGACCTTTACCTTTCATGTAAACTATGGCTTAAACAAACAAAAAGACAACACTGGAGCCCAGAGAGTGCTCAAGTGACATGCCTAGCACCAGGGTGGACCTGAATTTGATTCACCCACTGAGGGTGAACTCTATTAAAAAAAATCATGTGCTTTGTTTTTATCATGTATTTGATTAAAACCCAAGTCTAGGGTCAGAGAGCTAGTATAGTGGGTAGGGTGCCTGTTTTAGTTGTAGCTGTACCTGGCCAACCCAGGTTCAATCCCTGCAATCACTTATGGTTCTCCAATTCCCACCAGGAGTGATCCCTAAGCACAGAATCAGGCGCACTGAGCACCACAGAATGTGGCCAACATCCCCCTGCCCTCAATCAGTCTCTTTTTAAGGCATTTTTTTTTAATTATTCCCCCCCCCCCCCCACCCCTTCCCTTCATGGTGGTGGAGATGGTTTTGACAACCAGGGATCATGTACATGCCTAAAATGGCATATGCACATCTGGTTCCAGTGTTCACTGGAGTCATACTTAGCTATTAGTTGCAGAGCCACACAAGATCAGTCTAGTGATAGCACTTGCTGGGCTGCACTCCTGATCTCAGAGTTTCCATTTTTTAAGTTGCAAAGTTTTTCAGTTACAGTGTTCGCTGGGGACAATACAGCTCATTTACAGTGTATGCAAATGTGCTCATCATGGATAGCATTCTTCAAACTGTGGAGCTTGTGC